AAAAAAAAAAAAAAAAAAAAAAAAACAGTTCCAAACTATTATGAATTCTATTTTGCAGGTGATGAATCGTTACATGTCTCTGTAGTGGAATCTGTAGAAAGTTAGCGAGACGGGTGTCCCGGCTGCGTAGCACTACTTCTCATATTATTTGTCGTTAAGTGCATGAAAGCTTTTTTCGAGGGCTTAATACAAGCTCTCGGTTAATAGCGGAGCATTATTGTGTTCACGGGAACACGAGTGCGGCACAGCTTAGAGTCGCTCTCCCAGTCTCCTTTCTCTCTTCTCTCTTCTCTTCGGCACTATACGAAAAACGTAGGCAGCCCAACCTTTTATGGATTCTTTGTCGCGACGCGATTATGTACAGCCAGTCTTCTCGTCGCCACCTCTTTTTCCTGCCTTTTTCTTATGTATTTATACACACGAATTTTGCTGAAACGCGCGTATTTCCTTTTAAAGCGGCCTCGATGCAGTCTTACTGATGCACGCTCGGCTGCGACCAATTTTTACCAACGCTGACAAGAGACAATGCTTTTGTGCGCGAAATGCATCCTGGATGCGAAAGGAGAAACGTATGAATTGATGATTGAACAATCGTATTATATAAAAATCCGTTAGCGTGATTAATTTATACATTTTATACGTTTTAAACACTAACAAATTAAATTATCAGTGTGATTAACATTAATATTATCTTTCTAATTTTATATTCTTTAATTGTTCAACTACAAAGTATGCATGATACATTTGATAAATCTATTATTTTGAATTTTTAAGAAAATTCAATAATTTCATTTCATATTTTCCAGCTGTTGTAATATCTTGGTAAACAGCGTGGAGAGGTAGGAAAACGAGCAGTGCAAGCTCTCGGTTTACCACGGCCAATTCAATGACTATAGTATACTGTACAAAGCACATTACCTGCAACAATTGCATTATCCATGCCAGACTATGTATTGTGTTGCTACCACATCCACATTAGATTTGAAGATGCTTCGGCTTAACGAATTTTATCGATGATTTTGGAATGGCCTCTAGTTAAACGTTTATGCATATGTTGGATAATTTTCACGAGAAAACACGAGAAAGAAAATTCGTGCATTACGAATATAAAAGTATTCCAGAAAAATTTAATCCTGATATCTAATATTTAATTCATATATTTATATATTTAATTATAATTAAACCTAACTTACATCGAACAATTATTGGATATTTTATAATACCAAAAAAAAAAAAAAAAAAAGATTCACTATCGATGCATACATACCGAAAGACATTAAAAATTGATATCGAAACTGGATTTACACGAAACTGGAAGGAACAAAACCGTCAGCCTCGACTCGATGCAGAAATGAAGAAGAGAAATTGCCTGAAGCAAGTATCACCCACAGGAAGAGAGGAAATTATGTGTCTGAAATTAATCGTGAGCCCGTTAACGAATACTCGAGGACGATAAGATACGCGAAACACGCACACACGCGTACACTCAGGGATACGAGAGTCGTTGAGAGAAGTAGCGATAATGCGAAACACAGAGCACAGGGAGAGGAAGAGGCGCGCTTGAACGTTTTACAGACGAAACGTGCCCGCCAGACCGCCGACGATCGACGAGCAGAGAGGAGAAAGAAAAAAAAAAAAAGATTCACTATCGATGCATACAAACCGAAAGACATTAAAAATTGATATCGAAACTGGATTTACACGAAACTGGAAGGAACAAAACCGTCAGCCTCCACTCGATGCAGTCATGAAGAAGAGAAATTGCCTGAAGCAAGTATCACCCCCAGGAAGAGAGGCAATTATGTGTCTGAAATTAATCGTGAGCCCGTTAACGAATACTCGAGGACGATAAGATACGCGAAACACGCACACACGCGGACACTCAGGGATACGAGAGTCGTTGAGAGAAGTAGCGATAATGCGAAACACGGAGCGCAGGGAGAGGAAGAGGCGCGCTTGACCGTTTTACAGACGAACCGTGCCCGCCAGACCGCCGACGATCGACGAGCAGAGAGGAGAAAGAAAAAAAAAAAAAAGAATCGGCGGAGGAGGATGGCGCGCAAAGGGGTGTTTGGGTGGAAGGACTCAAGGAATCGTCGCACGTATCTGCCAGCAGAAGATGAAACGGTAACGAGTGTAGTTCACGGTAACTAAATATTCGCAGGATCGCATCGGGGGCCAACGGTGGAAAAAGGGGGAGGCGAATGCTCGTCGCTTTCGTCGCGGCCCTATTCGACGTCGCCATGCTGTGTGTATGCAATCGTCGTCGCCGCTCGTGGAGACAATTTATTCTCACGGTTTCGCGCGCAATTTGCCACGGGCACGTGTAACGAGGATAACGAGAATCATCGAATGAAAAGCCAACGTCGCGGCTACAAATTGCATTTCACGCGACATTTGCTATAACACCTGCCGCGAATATTTCTAGCCGGCCTCCTCCTCCTCCTCCTGCCACGAATCCACCTCCTTTTTCGAATATCGAAAAAGAGATCAAGCGTTCGATACGTTTGTTTAATTCGTTCCCTTCTCTTTCATATTATCCCGTTCTTTGTATGCATCTTCTATCGATTTATCCCGTTTTAATTATTGGATAATCTTGCGGAGACTATTAGTAGAGGGATAGTCGTGGAATCGTCGAGGGTGTTGCTATTGTATCATAACAGCTTGCTTTTATGCAGTACAATGGAACAATTTTATTATAACAAAGATTAAAAGATATCAACTTTTTGCGTTATGAATTTTTATCAATGTGATAAGTTGTTACAAGATAAAAAAGAGAGCATTGTTGTTTATTTCACGCAGCAACGCGTGATATATCGTTCCAACCTTTCTTCGATTCCTCTTTCCACGACAAGTATAAACGGTTTAAATAATTTGCAAAAGCTTTAACCTGTTTGAATAACACGGGGAATGAAATTTCCAATTAACTTTTAATTAAATTTTTCTAATCGATTATCATCGTTTGCACGCCACTACGAGGAGGAACAATTAACCAGAACATTCCCAACAGCAGCGGGAAGTTATTTCACTCGGTATTCTTACCAAAGTAAAGCGCGCGAGCGGGAGGGGGATGAAAGAAAGAAAAGAAAGAAGAAAGAAAAAAAAAGGAAGAAGGGAACGATTAATGCTCGCGCCAAGTTTTTATTGCGGGAATTCAATTTCCAAAATAAACATTTGCGAAGAGAACAACTGTTGACAAGTCCATTCTCCGCGCGAGTTTCAACATTTACGCCGAACGTTCCTCGACATTTCGCCTCATATATTT